TAAAGGGGGCCTCTTTTTAAAAAAAAAACAAAAAAAAAAAAAAAACCAAAAAAAAAAAAAAAAAACCAAAAAAGTGAATACGATTTAATCCGTCAAGCAACTAAGATGATTATAACCCTCTAAATTTCATTATGAAGCTAATAATCTAAATATTTTAATATTAAATATGTAAGATGTATCTAGAAATTGGAATAAAGAAGGAACAAATCCCCCATGGCATCTTTTTCTTGTGGATTCTCTCTGAAGTAGGAAGTGTTTTTCCTGCTAACATGCTGATGCAGGTTACCTCGTCATAAAACCAATTATCTCCACAGTAAAGGTAGATGGAGTGGATTCCACTGGTAGTCTCAGCACTGCAGAGGCTTGGGCAGGAAAGCTTGGGCCCAGGAGTTCAAGGCAGGTCCAAAAAACAAAGAGAGGCCTTGTCTTAAACAAACTTCAGATAAAATCTCCCAAACAAAGAAAAAAAGTCACTACTACCAAAATCCAAATCTGTGTTAACATGTTTCAGTGCTTCAGAGGCACCATTTTTTTCCTCTTCGCTATGGAATAAGCACTCTACATTATCAAGAAGAGTGCTCAGTGCAAGTTGTAAAGTGCATGAGAATGGGAAAGCTGCTCCTTTCTGTTTATCTTATGGACTTGTTAGCAATTTATTTTGATTACTAACACAGAATTAACTTTTCAATTCCATACCTTCAAAAACATAGTACATGTACAGGTTTTCACTTGTCTACAGAGAAAGCAAGAAACAACAACTTGCCAATGATATGTATCCAACTCTACCAAGAAGCAGTCCATTAGCATCTGAAACTACTCATGAGGAGCCAGATAGGTCAAGTCTCACTACAAGAATTCCTAAATTCAAGGATACTAAAATATGTGTATATGAAGCATTATATTACTACTAGTGTTTCCTGAGAAACACTAAAGAAGTTGCTTTAAAAGAAGAAACAAGTACACCCAGAACAAAAAAATTCTAGTTTGTTAGAGCTGGAAAGATGGCTCAGCAGTTAAGAGCACTGATTGCTCTTCACAGAGGACCTGGGTTTGATTCTTATCACCCATATGGTGGCTAACAATTGTCCTTAAGTCCAGTTCAAGGGGATCCAACACCCTCTTCTGGCCTCTGTGAGCACTGCACAACACGGTGCACTTACATACATTCAGGCAATACATTCATACATATAAACACAAAATTTTTTTAAAATTCTAGTTTGTCAAAGAACTTGGATTTTAATACCTAGAAACAGGAAAGGACAAATATTCTACTTGTGCCTGGTCCTCTTGTTTCTAGAATACTATGGGGCCTTGTACTTTCACTATGATAAATGTAAATGATAAAGATGAACAGTTTCTAAGTCTACCTAGGTTAGACCGATGCAAACCTACAATTTCTTATGTAATTTACAATGTCATGCCATCAAGAAAATAGACTCTGACATAGCTATTTCAGAAGAAACACGCCACAAGCCCTAAATGCAAGTGACTGATTCTCTGCAGGGCAAGGTCATTGGAATTCATTCAACTAAATCCAATGCTGTCCCTTTCTTTAAAATCTACTCCTTTGAATCAACTGTCAGTCTCTGAGATTAGCTGTTGTAAATAACTTCACTCAGGGGTGAGTTGGATTATTTTTTTTAATGCTATGTAATAAGTTCTTATTAGACATACAGCTAATTTAGGCTGTCAAACAACTGAAGTTAAAGTCACGAGATGTGAATTTTCATAAACAGTATTCTCAAACACCTATGACAGATTGTTCATGGATTAATGTTGTCACTCAAGTGCATGAATTTCAATAAAAACATGGCATTTCAGTGCAATCCACTGCTGCTACAAGAAAATAAAAATACCAAATTTCAGCCAAAAATTACCCAGATTTTCTGATTCAAATTAGTACCCTAGAACAACACAGGTCATAGTTTTAGTAAATGTAAAATGTCTAAAACATAAGCAACAAAAGTCGAAATGAATACTGAAGATGGCAAGGGAAGATGCACAGGAAACATAACTCTCATTAGAGATGTGCTTTAGCAAAAAACTCTTGGTAAACACATTTGTATTAATCATTTTGGAGAATTAAGTATCTTAAGAATCCTTTTTATGGGTTACAGAAATATTTTTAAGAATTTATACAAAAACACAGGGTTGCCTGGGTCTGAAAACAAGAGGGAGACATAGTCTTCTGAATCCAGAAGCTGAAATCTGGTGCCTCAAATGGCATTACTGGGTGGCATTTCCAAAACACAGATGTATATCATTTAATGTACTCCTCTCAAATCTATATGAGCTCTGGAAAGCATTAACCAAATTGTCTGTATGTGCCTCTTGCAATGTGGTTCTGACCTAGGCAAAGTGTTTTATACACAACTGAAACTGAATAAACCAACTCAGTGGTGTTCCAAAAATTTTAAATCTCCAGTAGCAAAAAACCTTACACAGATTCAAATCATTACCAAGCACAAAAGCTTTAAAAGAAAAGTATACTATTATAAAGCCAAAGTCTAATCATTTCAAAAGTGCTAATCTATAGGGGGAAAAGTACATAATCATGGATCAATTAAAGAATCAACTCTAAAACTATAAGAAAATAAATTGAGAACACAAATAATAGAGCATAAATTTAAGTAGTACTTTTGTAAGTTTATATAGTATGAAGGACAAGGTAATTACAGAAAAGCCTCTAACTTTACGAAACCAAACAAATCCTCTAGGCAACAGAGAAATGTTCTGATTAGAGTATTTTAAACCAGTTCCTAAAAGGAGTGGGAGAGGACTGATCTGATAAAAACAGGAAGATTTTTAATATGTACTGACAAAAAAAAAAAAAAAAAAAGGGTCTGTGGCATACTTTGTAGAGGGGTGTGTATTTCTACAAATCTCTCAGAAAATTAAAACTTTAGAACTTAAAAGAGGAAAAAGGGAGAAAGACTACTGAAAATCCTGTGATTTGAAGATCTGTTTAAGATCTGAAATGCCAAATACTTAAAATTTAACAGTGCTAAAAACATGTTACCTATGGCAAGCCATAGTAAGAATTTGTTTTTCCTTTAATTTCAAATGTCTTATTATGTGCTCAAGAATCATAAATCACATGTATATGAATTTTTATGAAATATTCAAAGTACTTGCTGAACTGTGTTCAGATAATAAGCATCAACTGCATCATACTCAATTTTGTTAATTTCAAACCTAGAATTGGTGCAATATTCCAATTCACCTGTCAAGATTTCAAAGGGAAAAGATGTTTGGAATTTCTTTCTGTGGCCTAAAATCATAGCTACCTGCTTAAAACCTGAGGAAAGAGCACATTTAAAACTAGTGGCAGCTTTAAAACTTGCCACCTCCTAAGATTATATTACAAAGGGCAAATGTGATCTATAGAATTGTCTTCTCTTTTTTTCCTTTGCTTCTATTCTGAACATGGCTTTCTGATCTTGGTAGACTATGGATAATATTAAGGTTTTTCTTCATATTATAATATTAATGAATATTCAGTTTCTATTTTTTTTCCATCTCATGATCTATCAAGAACTAAAACTATTTATTAGAATACTAGATTTTACTTAATACTCTCCATGACAGCATTATGTTGAAAACTTAAACATTTCTAAACTAACAAAAGAACTTACTAGCAAAATGGCCCCATCCACCCTCAAAATACTGATGATAATACCACTGTTTACCCCAGGTTTTCCCACCATATACTTACCTGTGCAACTTCTTTCAACATTTGCTACTCTGGGGATTGGAAAGCTCAGAGCTGGAGGCTGAAGTGAAGAAGGAAAGGTTGGAGGGTGAGCCATGGCACCAGCCCCACACTAGGAGCTCCCCTGAGATATTACAGCAGGGTTGACACCATAGCTCTGAAGTTCAAACTCCAGCAAACGATAAGAAAGGAGTCCAACCAGAACATGATAAACGATGGGATTCTTCTGCTCTTTGAAAAATAAGGAAATCATGCTATAAAGATCTGAATGTCCAGTTTCAACATTATGACTCCCTGTTTATCTCGTCATATTACCCAACCCCAGAATCATCTTTCAGACTGATTCAAAACACTAATGAAAACAACCCCAAAAGGGCAGAGCTCTCAAGAAACTTGCACACTTTTACAGAATATGCAAGGACAGGGCTTACCTGGCCATCACGAAAACATGCTAGGATAGTATATTCAAATACACTGCCCATCTACTCATACTCTTTCTTGCTTTTCTGAGTACTCAACATTAACTATAAGGCTCTCATCCATATTAACACCACCAATCAACAGAATTGAAGTTGTACTAAATAGATGTACCTCCTAAAAATGGACCAGTGAATTTTAAAATCAAGGATAACTTTTGCCATAAATATATTCCCTGGAAAGAAATTAATTTCATAAATGTCTATAGCGATTAAAAACTATAAATAAGCTCCCTTTGATTAGCCATTAACCTTAATCAAATCAAATGATAAAGATTTTTAAACTGGACAAGGTGGCACATACCTGGGATGCTAAGGTAGGAATAGCACTGTGAGTCTAAGGTCACCCTGGGGCTCTGCCCCCCACCCCCATTTTTTTTTTTTTTAAATTCTTAAAAGGGAGAATTTTAGAATAATCTGATTGGGGGATTTTTAAAATGCAATATGAAATTTATTTACTTTGGGGGAAGACAGTGGTGGAGATTGAATTCAGGGCCTTGAACATGTGCTTCCTAACCCCCACTAACATTTACCAAATTGTTTAATACTATAAAAAGTAAATTTGAGATAAAACATTCTATTATAATACTAAAACTAATAAATACATAAAGTGAATATTTAAGGTATTTCAAAATAATATTCAATAGCATGGATATTACTGGATAAGTTACTTTAGAAACCTTATATTTTAAAAATACAGAGCTATATCATAATCCTGAATTATGTATAAAGCAGTTGGAAACACAAAGTATTCTTTTAACAGAGGAACATGGTTTAAATTGCTTCTAAACGATCTGGTCATATAAATTAATATGGTAAACATTCATTAAGCATTGACTATGCCAAGTGCTAGATAATCTAATACTTTAGACCTTTATATAGCCCAATAATATGTTCTGTAGAATAGAGGAATATTACAAGTAAGAGCTGGCGAGGTAAAAACACATTTAGGTTGGCTTCCTGAACTCAAGGATTTAGGCTTTAGTGCCCTTATCCTTTGTTACTCTAATCTCCTTTGCTACCCTTCTCTTACTGCCACACTGGCCTCCTTGTTCCTCACACACATCAGGGACATTCTAGTTTCCAGGCCTTTGTATCTATTGGGTCCCCCAGGAATATTATTCCCCTAGATATCTATACGGTTTTGTGCTTCACCCACTTCAGTTGTATAATTACCTCCCTATCTTCTTTAGTTAAAATTACCCCTTCCCCCAACCACTTACATTTTATTACATTTGTCTTCTTTAATCTGAGACTTTACCCAAGTCTTTCCTTGTCTTTCATGGCAATCATGTAATTTCATATACATTGTAGAATGCTCCACAATTTTGGTTTGAATATTTTTCGTAATCATATTGAAGTTATGCATCTTAATGCCACATCACCACAAAGGTATATGCCCTTCTCAAATTCATTATATACACACTGCATGTATTTCCAACGTATGATTATATCTGATGCTAATATTTACTCCAGGTGATGTTTGCCCTGATCTTGGTTAGGGTGGTAAACCTGCCAGTTTCCCCCACTGTAAATTACTATTCTCTTTTTTAAAATAGTAAGGTTTGCTTGTTGGATAAGCCAGAGAAATGATCACATTGGCAAATAAAGTGTTTTATGTATATGTAACGGTTGCTTTGTACTGAAAAGAAGGTATAATTAAATAGTAAATTACGATTTTGTTGGGGAGAAGCAGGAAAAGGTGCACTTAATCTCCAGCTAAAACTAAATCTAGATTTCAGCCTTTTCTTTGAATTACAACTTCAAAAGTCTAGACGTACTGTAATAATGTCATAACGATGATAACGATGTTTTTGAAAAGGACTTTGAAAGCATACAAATATCTGCTTGTTCTTAAACTTTTACCAATTCCAGACACTGCTGTGGCACTGATGCTCTAATGGTGATTTGCTATTTTCTTCATTAAATTTCTACATTTAAATGCTTTTACAAAATAAACCAATTATTTTTGGAAGACCTCACTCTTAATATGAACAGTGCCCAAGCTTATCGGTGCAACTTGACAGAGGCCAAAGAAGAGATTAATGGCTTGGATTCAAGGCTCTTATTCTACTAGCACATTTAAAATTTACCACAGTGCTTCTACCCCGGCAGAAAAGGTTTTAAATTTCCTGTGCCATATATACTCTGCCTTAGCATTTCTGGTCCTAAGTAAGATCTTTACTTTTATTTTTATTTTTCTTGAGAAAAGGCCTTCCTATTTTCAATAGTGCTTAAGCCAGATGAAAGGGTTGATATATTATTTTAAAATTCTTACTTCAACTGGGAGGAATGACTACTGTATTTATGGGCCTATTAGATACTGAAGAATCTTGAGGGAGGGATTTCAAGGGAAATGATCTTTTTGCTTTAGATTAAACACAACAGAAGCTATGACAACTTGGAATTTATTTATTGATCTGTACTATTTTATGTGGCTTTCCAAATGGGGACTTTGTAAATGCTCAGATCAAGTGTGATATTTTTGTATGTTGTATATTATGGTGTCTTATACAACAGAAAGTGTCTAAGCCTTGAATAAATATTAGCACAAAAAACTTATTTTCACAATTCATAATGATTTATCTATCTTCAACTAATTATTTCAAATAATGAAATCTTAAAACCTCTACTTCCCACCATGATGGACTAGTTGTAGAAACTGTCCCCCAAGACAACTTAAAGATGAACAAAATACAGAGGCAAGACCATTGCTAGTTCAAGGTCAGATTGGGCTACACAGCAAGATCCTGTCTCAAAAGATAAGAGTGGGCAAAATACATTAACAATAGTTTTCAGGTACACAGACTCAATAGTTAAATAACTGCTCTTGCTAATTGATTTCAGGCTACAATGGGAGAGAGGGAGCCCAGGTAGCAAGAGCCCAAAACTCTCTTAGAATTAGAGCTGAGAGTCTGGGCAGTCCAAGGCATCCAAAGCAAACAAGCTAGAAAGTTAGACAAAACTGCACAGAGAAACAGTTCTGGAAATGTGGAGAAAGTTAAGTCTTAAGTCTTCAGTGATGTACTGATCAGTAAGAAGATTCAAGGGAACAAACCACAATGGGTAGAGCGAAAGAACAACCTGAAAGGAACAAAGAAAGAAATCCTAAGGGCTAACACAGTGATACAAATCATTTAGGGTCTCAGAAGCCAGAGCAGGAAAAAAAAGGTATGTAGGGAAGTAAAGTACTCAGAAAATACTGGCTTAGAAGTTGGAGAAAACTGACCCTCTACTGTTTCTGTTTAGTGGTATATTTTTAAAGAGAGAGAGCTCAAATGCTTCCTAAGTAACTCAACTCCTACCCTAGGAAACCTCAAGAATTTTAACAAATATACCAAAAAATGTGGTGGTACATGCTTTTAGTCCTAGCACTCAGGAGGCAGAGGTAGGTGGATCTCTGTGAGGCCAGTCTAGTCTACATAGTGTGTTCCAGGTCAGCTAAGGCTACAGAGACTGTGTGTCAAACAAACAAGCAAAAACAAACAAACAAACAAAAACAACAAAACAACAATAACAAAAACCAATAGAATAAAATTACCAAGGATAAAAATCACCAACTATGGAAAGAATCAGTAAAATAATGTGGAAAACCTTCAACAATCAATAGAAAGTTTTTATTAAATGACACCTTAAATTTAAATGATTAATATGACAACTGACAGAATTAATGGACAATGACAATTATATTTTGCATGCAAAAGAAGGTGCACAAATAACTAGAACGCTAAAATTATATTGCTGAACATGAAAACATGGTAATGAAAGAACAATGTAAAGAAAACAGGACCCCCCCAAAAAAAACAAGAAAAAAAACCCCAATATTTTATCAGTAAACTGGGGGAGAATTTCAGGACAACCTTAGGCAGGTATAATTGCAGTTCCCATACGACAAAGTATAGAAAAAACATTTGAAGGAGACACACACACACACACACACACTAATTTGATAAAAACTATAAATACATGTAACAAATTCCAAGTAGAAGAGTCACAAAGAAAATTAGTTTATTACATCACAGATTAAAAACCATACATCAGGGGTGGAGATGTGGCTCAGAGGTTAAGAACACTGGAAGCCATTACAGAGGACCTGGGATAGAGTCCCAGCACTCACATGGCAGTTAACAACCATCTGTAACTCCCAGTTCTTGGGATTCCAACACCCTCTTCTGTCCTTCACAGGCATTGCACAACACAGATACCCTTACATACATGTAGGCAATACACTCGTACATATAAAATAAATATTTTTAAAACATACATCAAAGACATCTATAAATGAAAGTAATTTTAAACCTTAGTAGCAGCCAGAGCGAAAATGACATATGTAGACAACTAAAAATAGAATTACAGATTTTCACTAGAAACAAGCCAGAAGTTGATCATTATTTTTAAACTATTATTTGACTGAAAGATTGATTGGGTCATCATATGACATAGGCAGGCCTCAAACTCTCCATTTGTCTACTTCAGTCTACTGAGTGCTGGAATTACAGGCCTGAACCACCATGCCTAGCCAGAATATTATTTTTAAAGATCTAAAAAAACAAAAGACAAAACTTCCAGCTTTCAATTTCTTGTTGAGCAAAAATATCTTTCAAAAATAAAGGTAAGACAAAGACTTTTTCAAATATAGGAAACTTAATAGAAATCCTCACCATCAGAAATACATTTAAAAGAAAGAGTTTGGATTCAGGCTGTAGCTCAACATATGTGAGGCCGTGGGTTCAATCTCTAGTACTTTCAGAACCA